TAGGCCCTTCAGATTGATCACTGGACGAGCCCCCCCTCCTTTTTTTGGGACAATGAATATATTGCTCACATAACCCCTGGTATGATCTGAAGMCACCTGAATGGCTCCTTTTGAGAGGAGGTTCTTTACTTCCTCCTCTACTGTCAGCCGATCTTTGTCTGACATGTGAGGGGAAACTGGGAAGTGACGCTGAAAAGGCCTCTCTACAAAATCTATTTTGTATCCCCTGATAGAGTTCAGAACCCATTGATCTTGGGTTATTGACTCCCAGGCCTGAGTAAATTGAGCTGTTCTTCCCGCTACTGGGGGTATAATGATAGAGTTAGAAACTATTGGATTTGTACTCACTTTGAGTTGTTGCTTTCTTTGCGATTTTCGTGGATGGGGTACTTTCTGCCTCGTCCCCTGCTCTGTGTAGTCTGCCCTCTGGACYAGTTTGAGCGGGATTGGCGTCCAGGGGCAGCTGTCCGAAAAGGCTGATGACTACGATCATCCTTCTTAGGCCCAGAAGCCGGACGTTTGACCTTTTGACCCGAGGTCCCTTGATTGACAGCTCGACGTTTACTAGATGAATTTGAAAGCTTATCATAATAGTCCTCGGAGTCATAGTGGCCTGAAGCCCTACGTTTAAACTCGAAGACTTGTTTGTGTGCTGCCTTCTGCTTCTGGTTTTCATCCAACATCTTTTTCATGAATGCCTTGCCAAATAGCTTATCATCCTCCTCAGGGACTGCATCAAAGGATGACTTGAGAGCAGTATATAAACCTAATTCCTCCAATACACGTTTCCTACGCAAGTGATTCAGCTGGGCAGTCGCATTGCCCATAAATAATAGGCTCTGTTCGATGGCAGTTACAACCTGGGAAGGACTTCTCCCGGCTTCCCAAAAGTGTAGTAGAGCGACGAGAGGGACAGYGGCATCAGTAAAATTTCTCATATGATCCTTCACAAGGGCCCATTCATYATTAAGGCGCTGGAGCTCAGGCTTTGGTTTCCCATCGGGAAAAGACAATTCAGCTTGAAAGGTTRAGTCCAGCTTCGCCCAATCCATGCATTTCACGTTCGGTTTTGGGACAGCTTTTGCAAAAATTTGGTAGTGTTCTTTAATCAAACGGTGTCGGAATGCTTTGTTTACGAACGACTTTACCTCACCGTCTTTAATAGAAAAATGTTGGTATTGATCTTCTTTATTAAACTCATCTCCAGCTACAATGCTGATAGCTCCTGGAGAATGTGGYATACCGCCAATTAGGCGGGAAATAAGTTGTTGTTGTTGTTGATGTACTTGGCGGTTAACCGAGAGGTTTTCTACAGAACTAACCTCACGGTCCCCGTTAGCATTTTGAGCGGACTCCGTAGTATTACGCGAGTCCAAACTATGAGCATCGGATTCTACGGAATTCCGAATAAGACCTGACAAAGCATCGGTGAAATCAGTTGAGCCCATCTCTGTACCTTCGGMATTGTTGACATTGTTTGGAGTTTMATTTTCTTCGTCAAACCCCTCACTAGAAGACAAATTGCGACCAGAAGTATCGCTTGTATGTGATTCTGGTGAATTGACATAGTTCTCTAGGTTGAAATCGGTATGATCCTCCATTTACAAAACCACGTCCTTCTTCTCTCGCAAAATTCAAGATCTGATTATGTATTCCCTCGTGGCGAAGGTCAGGGTCTCATGCTGGTCAGTAATTGGCTGATCTAAGGGATCAAGCGATTGGTTGTTTTTTCGCGCCATTTGCGTTGCAATGGTTTCTCTTTAAAGTTTGCGATTCAGTCTCGTATTGAAGATCAACACCTTGTGATATCTAACTTGACTCCGAATTATAATTCTTTATTGACGCTTGTTATTATGGGAAGGGACCTGTTTCCCTTTCGGAAGCTTTACTGTTATTGTAGCTTAAGGGGAATGTTTTAGTTTTTGAGTTCCAAGCCCGTCACTTGGTTTGTCAAGAATGTTGTCGACGGTAATAAGATCTATTTTCTTCAGGTTGCAATTGCAGTTGATATTGCAATTTTTGTAGAAAGCTGTGGTAACACTGTATATCGCAAGCTGGTGACTTGTTGCAGCCTTTGATTTCCAAGCCGCTTGCTTGGTTTCAACACCTTATTGGTGATTTTATTTTCACCAATTCGACTTTATAACTCCAAGCTTGCATTTAAATTCTAATTCCTGTCCAAGATGAGCAGTGACTACTACTCTCCTTGAAGGAAAGCCAGCTTGCATACATTTCCTTTTAATCATACTGGTCAATCTGTAGGAATCTGCTAGTCTTTAGTTGCACATGTACGCAATCACTTCCTTGTGTTCTTTGAGTTTGTCCTAAAAGCCAGGACAATTAATTTTTGACTCTTTTGCTTTTTCAACAAACTCCATGCATTAGCTAGGTTTTTTCGTGTAAAATGGGACCTATTTGAAAAATGGTGCAAAGTTAATTTTATGAATCCTAGTAAATCACTAATATATCTATACCGTTTGCATTGTTCCTTTTTCCTGTATCAACTGTTCGCAGTTTTCAAATTAGCCCAGTAATATATTCACTCGTTTTTGAGCCACTTCGAAAATAAGCGTTCTTGAACATCCCCAAATGAAAGAATTGAACGATAGTCAGTAGCAGGTCAACATTTTCTTCTTTTGATGATATTGTCAAATATCATCTTTAATAGAAATACAGCCTTTTGCAAAAATTATGAGAATTGTCGAAATATCTAAATATCATAATATCAAGTGCATGATGAGTAATCCCGCGGGAAGTCCTTTGTCCCGAACAAGCAGGTTTGCTAGAATAATTCATTGTTGCCATCGAGGAAATTACAAAGAAACTACAAAGACAAGGGACAAAGGGCATGGCGCGGGATTACCCATCATGCACTTGATATTATGATATTTAGATATTTCGACAATTCTCAATTTTTTTTCAAAATGCTGTACACTGAAAACAATATATAAAAACATGCCACTCAAAGAACCACATCACATGGGAAAATTGGTCTATGCCATAAAGATTTTTCTGTATAAACGAATTGTTTGGGAGAATGTTTTTTTGCAAACTAAATCAGGGTTAGCTTTTTTTTGTAAAAAAAATGAATGTTATTATTTTTTTTTTGTAGACATTGGTTTTAATGACAGACGACATGTTTGGTGAATCGTTCGAGACTTGTCTTCAGGAAGCTCAAMAAGTGAAGAGCTTGGGGTTCAGAGTGGTTTGTGTCGGCTTAGGTGYTCATCTTGATATTAATCAACTGGAATCCATGGCAACGGATGGAAAGGCTGTTCTTTACCATGATGATATTAAGGAAGAAGATGTCTGTCAAAAGATCCTTCAGGGTACGGTTTCTAAATGACATTAATCTTCATTCGATTTATTTTCATTTCAATAATTTGTTGTTGTTTTTGTCGATCGCAGGTATACATGGACAAGATACCTACGGTAAAATTAATATAACGCCAATGGTACATCTAATGATATCTTATAATAGTGTTACAAATAGTAATGGTCTCGCATGACCAATGGCAATGGGTCGTTTCAGATACCACAAAAGCCGAGATAATTTTTTTGAAATAAAAGCAAAGAAGGCTTTGAAGTTCAAATCTAATGATTATTTTATTATTGCTATTATCTGTTCACGTTAACAGATCGTTATTTGGAGTATTTCCAAACACCTTACTTCATCTTCGTGCGTGACACCTTGAGCTACCTTGCATTACTTGTTCTTCATTGTATCATGTGCCTGGAGCCATCGACTCGTCGTTTCATAACGGTTGAATGGGTTATCCTGTTCTTCTTTCTTGGACGACTTTCGATGGAAATATATCAGGCAGTAGTGGAGAAACAATTGGGTAATGAAATTCAGAACACCTCATTGGAGCTAAAGAAAAA